TTTTATGTCATTACTATTAGGAAGATGCACTCAGGCAATTTTATTTTCAGATTAAGCTTCTCTGTTCTTCTTTCCCCAACCCAGGGTTTAATTACTAAAAACAAAGTTGCTAGGCTGGAAGTTTCCCTGGATATACTACCCTGTGGTCCGAAAGTCTTTCTACTATATCACGGGAGAAAGTTGGGATTAGTTCGTAGTGCAGGAAAGACACTGCACATTCACAGTGCCTGCCTACACTTTTCCAGGCTATCTGGACTGCTTCATTCCTGACCGGTTCTTCTAAGAACTGTAATTTAAGAACTAATGCCTGATATTGTTTTTCAGCTCCTGAGAGGCGTATGTGTGTCACGCCTTTTCGACTGTAAGCCCGCAGGCAGGGACTGTCTTAACTCCTGGTTTTTGCAAGCTGTTCTGGAGCCACATCAGCACTCTGCATTTAAAGTGGTAAACAGTCATGGCTTCCCCCAAAGAATCCTGGGAACTACAGTTTGTTAAGAATGCTGAGAGCTTGTTAGGAGATCTCCTATTCTCTTCAGAATGCTACATTTCCCAGATTTCCCTAGGAAGAAGGTTTCATTGCTAAGCTGCTTTGAGAATTGTAGCTCTGTGAAGAGAAGAGAGGTCTCCCAACAGTCCTCAGCACCCTTAGCAAACTACGGTTCCCAGGATACTTTGGGGGAAGCTTTGACTGTTTAAAGTTATATGATTTAAATATATAGCGCAGGAGAGGCCTGGGGGTGGTATGAGGATACTATAGCTTTACAGATGCATATTGCCAGTGTGGTGTAGTGGTTAAGAGTGGTGGACTCGTAATCTGGTGAACTGGTTTTGATTCCCTGCTCCTCCGCATGCAGCTGCTGGGTGACCTTGGGCCAGTCACACTTCTCTGAAGTCTCTCAGCCGCACTCACCTCACAGAGTGTTTGTTGTGGGGGATGAAGGGAAAGGAGAATGTTAGCCGCTTTGAGACTCCTTCGGGTAGTGATAAAGCGGGATATCAAATCCGAAAGCTTCTCTTCTTCTTCTCACTCGTCTCGATTTAAGTAGGACATCCTGGAATTACAGAAGCCATCCCAGCTTCTGACTGAATCCAGGAATGTCCCATTGTTTTGGTCCAGCACTCTGGTGCGAGTCACCAAAAGAAACTCGTTTTATGGTCTTGCACTTTTGCATGAATCACCTGGCTCCTGCAAGAACTCGGGACCAAAAAACCCCGAGTGTCCAGATTTTGGCTAGAGGTATTTTAAAGGGTATGTTGATGCTGTGGGACTCCAGCTTCCGTCATCCCCAGCCAGCAGAGCCAATGGCCAAGAATGATAGGAGTTGGAATCTAACAACTTCTGGAGGGCTGCAAGTTCCCCAGCCCTGCTTGCACTGTACATATACTTGATTATTACAAATCAATACTCCAAAGCTTTGGCACTGAAAGCAGATTCCACGCTAAGTCCCATGATCCCGCTATCAAATTAAATCCTGCCACCATGCTATTTTAGTAGCTGCAAGTCTCATGTTGCGTTCTGCCCCACAGAGCAATGAATAAGACAGGTGAAGCATTAAGATGAAGACACTTGTCAAATCTCATGTAATATTGTGGCTGAAGCATCTCTGTGGCACTTAGCTTCTCTTCTCCATGGATTCTTCTTCCTTTTTTTGTTGGTTGGGGGTGGGGGTTGCTGATGGGACAGCGTTTGTGAGTTGTTTATTCTTTTGCCTCTCCCCGGCCTCTACCCACTCACTGGCAATTTTTCTGCTCGTGGGCCGAACCTGACCACCTGTGGCTTTGGCAATATGGAAAATAAACGGGATGGGGGAAGGTGGTGAGAAGGCTGGATTAAAACTGGGCTTGCTTCTAGTGGGAATGTTTGTTTCCCAAAGCTTCCCACAAAGCCGCAGCATTGCTTTTTCAGAAGCTATTGTTGTAAGAGATTGCATATGATGCATGTTCCAGGCCATCAGCTGCCAGTAGCAAATTCACATCTCTCCAGCTAAACATGAAGCTTTCGGGGAACATTTCCACCCTCCATGGGGTGATATGCCTCCCATGGAAGAGGCAAAAAAGCAGGCTGAAATGCAGGGCCGGCCCTACCATTAAGCAGAGTGAAGTGGCTGCTTCAGGCAGCGGGTGCTTGGAGGTCTCCTAAACTAGCCTGCCCTGCATTCCCTGAGCTGGTCTGCTGCCTGCAGGTATGATAAAGGGCACTGTCTGTCCTCTTTCCAGTGTGATTCTATATGGGGAAAGTGGGGTTGCCATTTTGTTCCTCTGTTTCTCTTTCAGTTTTCAACAAGCTTTCATTATAATTTCTTTCCTACTATGCAGAAAGTCATTCCAAATACAATAAATTAAGAACAAAACAGGATGCAGACATAATACTTATACAGTGGTACCTCGGGTTAAGTACTTAATTCGTTCTGGAGGTCCATACTTAACCTGAAATTGTTCTTAACCTGAAGCACCACTTTAGCTAATGGGGCCCCCTGCTGCCGCCGCGCCGCCAGAGCACGATTTCTGTTCTTATCCTGAAGCAAAGTTCTTAACCTGAAGCACTATTTCTGGGTTAGCGGAATGTGTAACCTGAAGCGTTTGTAACCTGAAGCGTATGTGACCTGAAGCGTATGTAACCCGAGGTACCACTGTACATAAAAACCAGAAGGGAAAGGTCAAAAGGATTAACAAAGCATTGAGGAAAAAGAGGTGAGGGATCTCTAGGATGTGGGGGGTTGACAGTGACTGTCTGGGAGGTATGTGGTATAAGATGGAGGTGCATCAGCCAAGTAAAATGGCCTTATAGGCAATGCATGAAATTCAATTTAACAAATTTATACTTATTTCTTTTCCGGTGTCCTGGACGGGAGATTGAGGACCGTCTTCTCTCGCTGAGATTGCCTGGAGAATGGCCTGACACCACAAGGGTCTCGAGACGTCTTACATGAAATCATGGGAACCAGGAATCATGGCAGGTATTTAGTCCCATAACTAGCATTGCCTCCAAGCGCTTTTCCCCGTTAAGCAATCCTGGCTGAAAATAGTTGCTCCTCTCAGCCTCCGCATGTCACACTTTTAAAATTGTCAGTATATATTTTGCTGACCCTAATATATTGCTGCCCTAAGCACTCTGCTGCAATATTTCTGTAATCTCCCAACTGCTTAGCTTGTGTCAAGCCTCCAGAAGACTAGCAACCTATTTGTCTCCCCTCCTCAAAAAGTAAGCAATATTCCTTGACAGGATCAGGCAAGGAATATTCTTTTTTTAAAGAGGGATTGCTAGTCTTAATGCACACCACAACATACACCATATGCTGTTCAAAACAGATTCTGGATTGTAAAACTTACATAGGCTCTGCCTTACAAACTCTGGTCTGGAATATCTGTGGTGGCAATTCTGGCTTCCGTGTAGTCTGAGGCTTCCTGTGAGAACCTTCTGCATCTATAATTAGGGCAACACTGCCTAATTACGTTAACTGATTCTTCCCAATGTGATTTCCCTTTCCTGGGGCAGCCATATGCAGTTGTTTCAGCCATATATAAATACCTATTGTTCATAAGGACTTCAAACGAATATCGGGCTCCTTGTTTCCAACAAGGCATTGTAGTGGCCTTCCCTTCGCAAGGAGAACATCCTATGTGACTCAAGGTTGTCAGGATCTTGACTCATCACTTTCGTTTGAATAGACACGCACTGCACAGCAGTATCTGCCAAAAGCTGATACGACGCCTTTTTTGACATCGTGATCCTGAGACCTTTAAGATATTGACCCTAATTCCTGTTTATCGTCTTGGAAGGGCATTAGTTATTAAGAATGTTTTTATTTGGAGATTATACGTGCACACACATAGGTTGCATGCCCAAGAGTGTGTGGTGTTTTCTTGCATAAACCTTGTTTTGGTGTAATAAGACTTCGGCTCTTTTTTATTCAAAATACTTGCCGTCCACAAAGATGGGGGACATGCTTTATGCCGTGGCAAACTGGCAAGATAACTCGGAAGCAAAAGCAAAAAGTGAGGAACGCTTTGTTATTGTTATCAAAGGTCACATTCCCTTGAGGGAACTCTGCCAGGTGGGCACATAATAGCGGTGAGCAGGGCAGAAGCCGGCAATGGATGGAACCACAACCGGAGACGGCTCCCTTCCCCCTCTCTGCCAACCACTTTCTACCTTGTTACCAGCATGAAATGAGACTGAGAGATACACGTGGTCCTAGAACAGAGGTTGCCCACCTAATAATAATAATAATAATAATAATAATAATAATAATTTATTTATATCCCGCCCATCTGGCTGGGCTTCCCCAGCCACTCTGGGTGGCTTCCAACAAAATATTAAAATACAGTAATGCATCAAACATTAAAAGCTTCCCAAACAGGGCTGCCTTCAGATGTCTTCTAAAAGTCTGGTAGCTGTTCTCTTTGACATCTGGTGGGAGGGCGTTCCACAGGGCGGGTGCCACTACCGAGAAGGCCCTCTGCCTGGTTCCCTGTAACTTGGCTTCTCACAGTGAGGGAACCGCCAAAAGGCCCTCAGCGCTGGACCTCAGTGTCCGGGTAGAACGCTGGGTGTGGAGACACTACTTCAGATATGATAGGCTCTTACTCTCACCTTCCCATATGAAGAGTGAGGAGGCGGCAGCTAGGTTAATTCTGGCTTTCCCTGTCTCACTTGTAAGTGTCCAGTGTTCTGAAAGCTTGTGGAATCACTTCCAGGGCAGTCTCTGGACCACAACGCTTGCATAAATACACGCCAAACTAGATCTGCCCAGATGTGTGTGGGAGACTAACCTTCCCTCTGAGGAAGTGAATTTCATTCAAGTCAACCGATCCCATTCCAAACAAAAATTAGGTCCGGGCTAGCAGTTGTCCAAGGAGATTAATGAGAGAAATTCAAAGTGATGGTTCATTTCACTGAAACAAGGAATGTCTGAAAACTGGTTTGGCTGGTCAGATATACCTCATGTATAAGATATTCTTGGAAATTAAGAGGTGGAAATGTGGCTTTGCAGAGGTCTGCAGATGCAGTTGGTAGAGCGTGAGACTCTTAATCTCAGGGTTGTGGGTTTGATCCCCATGTTGGGCAAAAGATTTCCTGCATTGCAGGGGAACTGGATTGGACTAGATGAAGCCCCGTGCTCCCTCCCAGCTTTATAATTCTATGATTCTATTATTTCAACTGGCTGTCGTGGAGCATGAAGGCCGAGGATTGTCATAGCAGCTTATTGTGCTCTGTGTGCTGGACCTTGGAGACTTGCACCAATTCATTCAATTGGCGAAGAAGGTCCATAGCTTAGCATCTGCTTTGTATGCAGAAGGTCACATGTTCAATCCCCAGCATTTCCTAATAGGGCTCAAAGAAAACTCTGCCTGAAATCCTGTGGGGAATTGCTGCCAGTCCATGTAGATCACAGTGAGCTAGATAGACCCGTGATCTGACTGGGTATGAGGCAGCTTCCTAACCATTTCCCCACCATTTTCTTTCCAGAGAATTTGTTAGTAGACAAATTTTCATATGGAAAAAAGTCTACACGCCAACAAAAAAAAGTTAGTCATGTCTATAAGGCCCACTGACTCAAAGTATGTGCTCAAGTCTCCTGCTGAAATCCATGATTTTTTTTTAAATTCCCAATTAATTCATTTAAAGTTTTGTTGCAATTGCTAGCATAGCTTAGAACTGTTATAGATATGCCCATTTGTAGACACTCATTGGGAAAGTATAACTACATGGTTTTAAACAGCATGTAAACCGCTTTATTGAGGTAATCCTATGAGTACCCATTGACAACAGTGCTTTTTGACTTAAATGCTTTGGGTTGATGTGCTGTCTTCAGCTTTTGGGGTAGAAACTCCTATCAGCTGAGTTAGTGGCTAAAGAAACTTTATTCTTGATGAGGCCTCAAAGCCTACACAGAGTAGGCAACCCTCTGAGCTAGCAGCTTCTGTTAAAGGGGCCACATGCCAGGTTTTTAGTCAATAACACCTACATCGCATGTCTGTTCTAAGCATCATTTAACTAAATATAATTCCACATTTCTAAATGCTGCAATAAGCAAGCCATTTGCCTTATTCTCCAAATTTTTAAAACAGTTTATTCTTCTACGCTGGAGACAATCTTAGCTCTGGTTCTTACCTGGGTGCACATAATTTGATTTCTCATACAGTTCCCTATGAGTGTGAGAACCAATTTCAGGTTCAAGTGACTGACCTGAATATTCTGTCTGTGGTCTAGTTCACATAAGCTTGAGCAATTATTTGATGACTGCAACGCCCAGAGACATTGACTTGACTTGCATCTGTGAATATGCTGGGAAGGCTCTGATGGAACCAATATACCTCAACTGCAAGTGCTTCTCAGTGGAATCTCTTTGCATGCGCAACTGCCCATCAAATGTACATTAAACAACGATAGCAAAATCAAATAATGTCTATGCATACATAAATAAGCACTCCATGCAGAAAGTGAAGTGCAAGCTGTCATTCCTGCATTGTGACACATATACATTTTTTTAAAAAAATACAAACTCCTGGATTGGGAAGTTGGTATATGCTATAACTTCCTGGGTTTTTATCCTAGCAAAACTCTCTTACACAAGTTTATATTCACTGAATACTAAAAAAGTAAGGGTTTTGAATGTAAAGTGAGAGGCTTGCTTGTTTCAGCATTTCGTGGTGGCATATCTGTTTTTCCTCTACAACATAGAAGTTATATCTGAGTATGAAACAAAAAGTTGTGTCTGAAATGGCCTTCTGACCTAGGGATTTTTATCTATTTTTTTATTTTTTGCTTTTGGACTAAGATTTTATCTTTGTGCCTCAGTCTTATCTGGGGGTCTCGTTTCAACACGGTACATTAGAAAAGATGTCAGCACAATTTTTAAAACTCAGCAGTGCATAGACCTCGGCTTCTGAGACTGTTTGGCTAAGGAGGGAAACTTCAACATGAGGAGAGGGGTGCTTAAGAAGAGGGGGAAGGGGGAAAGGCTGAACTAACTCTTATCAAGAGCCAGATACAAGGTCTTTTATCTGCCTGTGAAAAGGATAGTTGACAGAAGACAAGCTGGGTAAGCAACACTGTTGACAAGGTATCAAGGCCCCCAGGCAATCTTCCTTCAAACAATTAAAGGCGATAAAGCTGTATAGCTTTCGGGACCCTAAAGTGATATGCCCTAATGTTTCAGTGGGTTTGAAATGGATGGTAAAACAAAGGAGCTAGGAGCTAGCCGCCTGCTATCAGCACAACAATTCAGAAAATTGGAGGTGAAGCATTTTTAAATGATGCCCTGATGAGGAAGAGCATGCTGATAGGCTATGCCCGGGTCACTATAGGTTTATCTACAGTATATCAGCTTTATTCCAGTTTAACTGCCATCACTTTCACAAAAAAATAAAAAAATAAATCCTGCAAAACTGCACTTTAAGAACGTAAGAATAGCCTGCTGGATCAGGCCAATGGCCCATCTAGTCCAGAGTCCTGTTCTCACAGAGGCCAGCCAGAGGCCTGTGGGAAACCCACAAGTAGAGCGTGAGCACAAGAGACTCTCCTTCCTGTGGTATCTTGCAACCGAATAATTCATGGGTAGGCAAACTAAGGCCCGGGGGTCGGATCCGGCCCAATCGCCTTCTCAATATGCCCCGGGAATCAGCGTGTTTTTACATGAGTAGAATGTGTCCTTTTATTTAAAATGCATCTCTGTGTTATTTGTGAGGCATAGGAATTCGTTCATCCCCCCCCCCCCAAAAAAAAATATAGTCCAGCCCCGCACAAGTTCTGAGGGACAGTGGACCGGCCCCCTGCTGAAAAAGTTTGCTGACCACTGGATAATTACTGCAAAACACAGCCATCATGGCTAGTAGCCATTGATTGCCTTATCCTACATGAATTTGTCTAATCCTCGTTTGAAGCCCATTCAAAATGGTGACTGTCACTGCCTCTTGTGACAGTGACTTCCACAGTTTAACCAGGCATGTTGTGAATCCTCTGTTAGATATTCTTAGAGATGCCTAGATCAACTCCTCCAGGTATTCCCTGAGGACAGGGATAGACTGTTAAACCAGTTTAAGGCCTCAGTCCAGTCAAAATTAGGCTGAAACAATTTATCGCTTGGGACTCTTCCTCCACTCAAGTGATCACACAGTACCACTGTTCTCGTGTTAAACTGCATGTCACCACAGCTAATGTAGGAGAAGACACTCCCTCCTCACCTATCCTGGGTGTTGATCTGATGCACTAATGCAGAGGAAATTCCACAGGTATATTTTGAAATAAACTGTGGAAGATATATTCCACCACAACCATTTTCTTTGTTGCCTTCCCTCATGATGCTTTCATGAGACAGCAAAGAAGCTGAGACAATGAAGGAAATGGGCACTAGCAAAATTAATACTGTCAGCCCCTGATTTGGTCAGTTTCACTGGAGATCAGAGGAAGTCGTTATTTAAGGGAATCTGTGCTGGCAAAACTGACAAGGATAATGCGCCACGCTTCTATGCAGAAAGAAGACATGAACATTAGAGATGGTACCATGCTTAGTATTTTCCAGCTCAGAAATCCAAATCTCATCAGCTCTTAACGATCACCTCAAAAGTCATTCCCCAGTTTGGATTTTAATCCAAACCAAGAAAAGAATGAGTTATTCCTTCCTCCCACCCATTTGTCTACCTCACTCATCCTGGGCCAGGAACCTTCCTTGCTTCCCCAATGGCAACCCAAATAGAGTAAGGGAGAAGTGTATTTTAGGAGCACAGGGTGAACTACATTTCCCAACACCCCTCATGTTAGGCACCAAAGAAGGAAGGGGAAAGCACACACAGAGAACTTCTTTGCCTCCTTCATCCCAGCACCATTTCTGCCAGTTAAACAACTTAGGTGGTTGAGAGGGAAATATGAGAATCAGGTGGGAGGAAGCAGGAAAGCTCTCAATGCAAACTTGTATTCAGGCTGCAAAACCTGGCTTTGAGGGAGTAGAATTTATGTTTCCTTGGTTCAGGCATTATTATTATTATTATTATTATTATTATTATTATTATTATTACTAGAGAGAGCCTTTGACACAAATAATTATAGTCATGAACACACCTGTCAATCTTCCAAGATGGTCAGGGCAATGGATTGTGTGGTTCACCTTGAGAACTAACAGGCTATCCATTGATAACAAAAATAATTTTCCTGAGCGAGCGCACACATCGCCCTCTGACCTTTTAAACAAGCAATATTGGTTTGTTTAAAAACTGCCTGGGGTTTATCTTGCAGCAATAAACTTCTGGATTTCCAAGCAACAATCTGATGCTGGTGAACTACTAATGGCTTTTCTCAGCAGAGTAGCCTCTGCCTCCAGCTTTAATGGAATTTGCAGAAAAGATTCAGAGGAGACAGTGCCTGGGGATGTTTGTTTATTTCTGTATGCCATACAATTGATTTTTACATCCAGGTAACTTGATTAATGGAGAATGACTGGTGCAGAGTAATTCAACATTGAATTGTTGTATTTATACAACATTTTAAAGAAGGGCTTCTCATAACTACCCCAAAGAGGACAAAATTATGTTCCTATATTGCAGCTGGGGAGCTGAGTAAATATAAGAACTGGAGAGATTTTCATTCATTCGTTCATTCATTTTATTTGTGTGCTACTTTCCCACACAAAAATATCATACTCAAACAAGCACTACACAAACACTTTTTTAAAAACATACCAAAACAATAGCATAACAATTTCCTAATGGCTTTGCAAAACAATAGCAATTATAATAATTACTTAAACAAGATTACTTAAACAACAAGCACCACCCAATAGCAAAAATAGTAAGATTTTAACCAGGGACCTCCTGTGTTTATCAAGAAACAAGAGCTGTAGCAACATAAGTAACCTGAGTGTGAACTGTAAGCTGGCAAGCGCTGTGCTTCGAATCTTGCCTGAGCTGCAAACGCAGTGGGTGGCCTTTAGCTAAGTCACCATTTCCTTAGCTCCTCAGGCACCCACACAGTCTCAGTGACATGAATATGCAGGGTGAATACACAGAGACATTTCTTAAGTGGTAAATTATCACATGCTGCATCTCGCCACTCGGTGAGCCAATAGTCTG